TATTTATGTTTATCTCAAAAATTAAAAATAAAAATCAAAGATTATAACTTTATATTTATTTCTATCACCTCTAAGTCCGATTTTCTTTTCAATTTAATTAATTACCTGATTAGTAAATAAATTATGTCCTTCCGGCTTTTCCATTAAAAATCATTTAATTTTCCTAGTAATCTCTAATCTCTTTTCTTTTAAGCCTCAATAAATTCACCTATTTATTTACTCTTGCCTATATCCTTTGAGGTGGTCAACAAGCAATAAATCACTTGTTCACTTTCCACTGTTTTTATTTTAAATAGGCAAAAATATGTTTTTGCTGAATTATTTTGGTCATTGCTGAGATGACTAAAAATTAAAAAAAAACATTCGAGCTATTCAATATTCGAGAATTAAAATTATATTACATTTAAGTAAAAATTCAAATATAAAAAACTCGTAATAGATAAATTATTCTTGCTTGAACTCACCAATTTTACAAATAATTTTTTGTCTAATAAAAATCTAGATTTTTGCAAAATTATTTTTCATTTACCCACCTTAATTGTGCTTGCTCTAAAAGCCGGATTTATACCAAAATGGATTGGGATAGAAGGAGGATTTGAAAACCTAGGATTCGAAAACCTTACAATTAATATTAACTACAATATTTTTCTTTTACACACGAATTATTTAATTTTAAAAATTAAATTTTCTATTAAATTGTCTCGATGACAAATTCTTTAAATTTTCACTCCGTATTTCTTCTTTATTTTAAATAAAATTCCTTAAGATTGTTTTGATTTGATCGTCTTTACCTCTCTTTTCCAAAACATCTACTAAATAATCCTCTGTTTTACGTAGTAATCTCCTCTAAAAACAAGAAAACAACAAAACAACTAATTCTCACAATAAGATTAAATATTTTCCTTTCATTGTGACAGCCGTAATTCACTCACTCTGTGGCCATTTCTCTCATTACTAAAAAGAATTCGGGAGAAAATGGTTAAAAATGTTTCTCCCTTTCAAATTATTTTATAAAATAAAGGAGATTAACTTTATTTTTTTTGAAATTCCTTATAATTTGTAATGAGTTTTTAGATTGAATATTAATTGAAAATTTAGGTAGCCTCTACATAAGATATTTAATTCTATGATCATTTACATAAATCAAATTTTTATAAACTGTTGTAATCTTTTTTGCATAAACTCTAGAACCATCTTCTACAAATCTCGTTACTTGTTAATATATTTATTTTCTAAAAATTAATTTAAACTGTCAAAATATTTTAAGCAAATAAATTTTTTACTACGTTTATTAAGCTCTAGAATTCAATTCCTGTTTCTATAAAATATAATTACAACAGTTTATTAGTAAGGTTAACGGATAGTTGGAAATTCTCGGATATCCGTATCCGATCTCTACCGAAAATTTCCAGATATCCTGCTTTTTCGAATCTGAATATACGTATCCGCTAACCTTATTTTTAAAAAGACATAAATCTCGGTTATTAGGTTGTCGGGTCCGTATATCCTATGATTTTCCAATAAATGAACCCCCTAGTTTCAATTCCTCAATCACATCCTGAAAAATCTATTTTTATTCAATTTAAGACTTTATAATCTCTCAAAATTTATTTATTCATTTCCTAATTATATATTAAAATTCTTTTTTTACAACCATTCTTTCCCTATAAAACTTCAATGAAGTCCTTCAATAGTTTAAGCATCCTTTTATTGTTGTTGCTACATAACACTTTTGAAGCTTTTTTATTTTAAATTATTGTTTAGCTCTTCCTTTTTTGTCCATTTTACGAGATTTTATATCTAAAATCTTTTTATTTTGCAAATATATTTTTATTTTATTTTTTTTTTGCTAGGCAATTTAGCCCTCAATATTTTTATGCAGAATATTACTAAAAATACTTTTACTTATTCACGCTCAATTTCTTTTTTTGCTTCTTTATTTTCCGATATAATCCATTATTTCATGCAATTATCCTAAAATTTCTAAAAATAAATTTTTACTTTTTTGGACAAAATATGGATTAATAAAGTGTGAATTTGATAGAAATATAAATGAAGATATCAGTGAAGAAATCGGTAGAACCAAACTAAAAATACTAACAGAAGGATGGGTTTATCTTGAGAACTTAATAGAATAAAAAAAGCTCAATCCTTAATTCAGTTTCATTTTTGCTTTATCAACGAAGCTATGGAAACTTCGATAAACCTTAATATTTTTAATTTAAACAACAGCTTTATATCGCTATCCAATTCAGTCAAAAGAAGAGTGTTTAGCTTGATTCAATTCATATTCCCAAGCAAGTTCGTTAGTATTCGTCTTGCTTCGATTTTCGAGGATGTCGTTACATCAAGATTGCTTTTTATTTTCTATTCTAATTGGCTTCCTTTAAAATTAATTGAAAAATACAAAAAATCAAATTTATAAAACTATCCCAAGCTGGAAATAAGTTAATAACAAAAAATCTAAACATATACATATTAATAAAGCTACTTTTATTTTTTTCTTTAAATTATTTGTTGTTACGTTACTTTTTTCTGTTCTTATTAATTTAGCTAATTGTATTTTTTTCTTTTATTTTTTATAATTTGAGTAGTTTTTTATAAGAGAAAAGTCTTTTTATTTCAGCCTAATATTTTGGCTATTCAATTTTGTTGTTTTTTATTTAATTTTTTTACTTAAAAGATTTTCTTTGGAAATTTCTCTCAAAGAAAATTTTTGTTAATTTCTCTCAAATATAATTTTTATTTTGTTAATAATAAAATTAAATAAAATATTATAAAAAATTATTATACTTTTTATTAACTAAAAATCCCCCTAATTTTTCTCTCTATCAAAACAACAATTCAGTTTTCCTTCCAAAAATTTAATTATCCTTTTTTCTTTTACCATTTTTGTGTTCTTTAATTCAATTTACATTTGTTTTTATTTTTATTTAATAAAATCTTTTTTTGGTTTTAATTTTATTTTTTACACATTTTTTGGATTAACAAAAGGTTGCATTTGGAATTATTTTTATTTATTAATTTAAAATATTCTTTTTCCAAGTACTGATACATTAAATATATTTTTTACGTAACTTATTCTCTTCTTTACAAAATTGATAAGTCCATAATCAAAAATATTTAATCTTAAATTTCACATCCGCAAAATTTTATCTTATTCTCGGTTGCTGACATCCCTACTTTATTAGAACCAAAGTTGTTTTAAATTTCAGTTTTTGATTGTTTAAGTTATTTTAATTTTCAACTAGCGACGATTTCTGCACCTTTGTATTTTTGTACATATTTATCTTATATAACATAAAATTGGCGGATCGAAATATCTAATCCGGAAAGAGATCCGGAAATTTTCTACTCGAATATAGGATGCAGATATCCGAAGATTTCCTAGGATCATTTAATCTTAATTATACACTTACTAGTGTTTACTTTGCAAAAGAATTTATGGAAATTTTATATACGATATTTTCACAGATTTTTTTAGATTTTAATAAATATTTCTGAAATTATTTTTAAAAAACTTCAATTTAATTTTTATTTTCATTAACTTTATTTTTATTATTTAGTTTTTCTTGTTTTTTTCGTCAAATAAATAAATATTAATTTATTATTTATTTTTTAATATTTCTTTTAAAATCCCAAGTAATCTATTTTTCCACAAATCCATCTTAAAATTATGTTTTAGCTTTATATTAAAACCAATCATTTCTTTTTTTTCCTTTTTTATGCCGCTAATATATTCTCCTCTAAATTTTTTAATAAAACCTTAAAAAAGCCAAAAACATATGCCTTTCCTTCTTTTATTTTTTTAATCCGGCAATCCAAGCCTATGCGCATCGGGTAACCTAAGAAGAGTATTGTCTTTTAACTCAAAAATAAATTAAAAGCACTTGTTATTGATGAATATATAATTAAAATGAAATGTATAAATTTAATAATATTTTTTAATAACTAATCAAGATGTTGTCGAAAACCTATAAAAAAGTTAGCAAAACGTCTGTTTTTTGACCACAACATTTTGGCCAGTATCAGAGGTGGGTCGGAACTCGGAACTGTTGGAAATCGGAAATGGGCCTAAATTTTCGTAAATCGAAAGTCGGAAATTGGAATTCCGACGGACCTCTGGCTAGTAGCAAAAATTTTTATTTTATTTATTTTTATAGCTAATTCATAATTCTTTATTCAAAGAATTTTAAAGCTTCTCAAAATATCTATCCATTCTCGAATTTTACTTCAGACTTCAACGACATCGGATTTCAGACCCCATTCATTTCCTCTCGTTTATTGTTTTTCTGTCAATTACATTCCTCTTTTTAGACGCCAGAAGCCATATCTATCAAAAGTGCTAAGGTCCCTTTTTTATACCTTTTTAGGGTTGCCTTTTTGAAGGTTTTTGTAAAAAAATAATTTTTTCTTTTGACTAGCCATTTTATATTTCGCCAGAAATTGCTCTAATGACATAAAATTCTGTTGCAAATATAATAGAAAAAATCCGTCACAGCCCTTCACACATAAATATATTTTATTTGTTTTTTAAGAAAAATAACTATTTATTGAGGGGATTTTCGAAGATCTTTTGAAAAAAAAACAAAATAAATTTTAAGAAATTGTAAAACCATTATATCTAATGTTAATTTTCTGGTTTTAAATAATTAAACTTGTTTTTATTATTTTTATGAAATTGTAAAACATTTTTTTCTAATTTTATATTTTTGTAATTAGTTAATAAATTAGAGAAACATTATAAAATACATAGAGAACCAAATTTACAGGCAAATCAAGAATTTAATGATTAACTTCCCAAACACATCCCAAAAACTTTTTACTTCCACAAAACTTTTTATTTCTAAATTAAAAATGTTCGTAAGCCTAGAGATATTGGTGATATAGATTCTTCGAATATTCGAATCGAACAAAGACTAAACCAAAAATCTTCAGTTTGTTCCGATCTCAGTAGTTCAATTGTTCAGGGCCTTTCGTGATCAACCCTCCTTTTTTATATGTATTTCCCTTTAAATTTTATTTTTAAAATTTTATTTTTGCAAAAAATTCTTTCCATCTCCAATTTCTCTTTATTTTTATTCCACAATTTTGACATTTATATCTTTTCTATATTTTATACCCTTTTTATTCACATCCATAAGCCAATTTCTAAAATTCCCAATCCATCCATTCCTTCAACATTTCCGACTGGTCAATTGCGTTATAAGGCCCCAACCCTCCCAACTTGTTTTTACTTCTCTCCATTTTCACTCTTTGGCTTCCGCTTGTTTAGCTTATTTTTATTTCTCTAGAGGCTAATTAATCGAACTTGCGCTTAGAGAACGCTTTTAAGCTGCTTTTGGCTTTTTCTTTAATTTTATTCCTCTAAATTTTATTAAACATATTTCTAAAAATTATACAGGGTGTTTCAACTAAGAAATACTATTTGAAAAATCTATAACTTTTTACTAAGTTGATAGATTTTATAGATATTTTGTATTTTATATCTATATCTTATAGCATTTTTTCTGACATAAAAATTATGTCTGAATTCGAACCCTACCCCGAGATAATTTCGTACTCTACCGTTCTGTTTTTCCCTTTTTCCGCACATGCATTCTTACTTCCCTTTATTTGTTGTAAGGGGAGACAGACACTAGAGTACACACTAGGCGATAGCCACTACATTTTCAATACAGTATCCACTCTTCGCCATACGCAGGAAAATAAATGAAGTAAGATAGCATGCAATGCGAAGAGAAAAAAAGAGAACGGTAGAGTACGAAATTGAAATACAGGGTTAGGGTTCGAATTTCGAAAAAATTTTTATGTCAAAAAAAATGCTAGAAAATATAGATATAAAATACCAAATTTCATTAAAATCTGTCAACGCAGAAAAAAGTTATGGATTTTTCAAATAGTATTTCTTAGTTGAAACACCCTGTATTTTAAATTTACTGGCTAATTTATATAAATATCAGAAATTATGCTGTTTTTAATGCCGTAATCGGTAAATAAAATCCTGAAATTTTCTGAAAATCGGGAATTTTCTGTGTAATGTTTGTCAAGGTTTTTATCGAGTCGGGCCGGTACGAGCTTTTTCGAGCCAAACATCTAGGCCCGACTCGATCTTTCGGTCCGAGTCAGTCCATTTTTTTTCCGAGTCAGTCCATTTTATTATGGCCATTAATCATTTAAAAATATAAAAGTAGTTATGTCCCCGGCCATTAAGATTATTTTTAAAAAATATTACATTCTTTATTAAAAATTTATTTTTAATTCCGCGCATTTTCTTTCCCCATTTAAAAATTTTCTTTTCTCGTTTCCGGACTTTTACGCGCCACCAAGTTTTATCCATTACATCAGTTAATATTAAGCCTTTTTTATTTTTAGACTTTAATGCCGTTTTCCTTTCTTTAAATGCTAAAAATATTATTTAAAGAAAATCTAAACTTGACTTATTTATTTAAATTTTATTTTAAATTTTGAAAAAAAAGTAGAATAATTCAATTCAATTTTCTAAGACTTCCCTAATTTAAGCCTATTTATTTTTAAATAAAAAAATTTTTTTAAATAATTTTAAGCTTATTTAATTATTTAAGCCTATTGTTTTTGTTTTTTCCATTTTTTCTCATAATTATTTACTAGAATTTTTATAGTTAATGCAAGAAACTTTTTGCAATATTCAACTGAAATTTGAGGATTAGATTTAGTTATGTAGCTATTCGGTTATACTTAAGGATTTAAATTTATGGCTGTCTTTAATTAGAATTAAAAAATTAAGTTGATGTTAAATGTACTAAAGTATAATCAAAAAAATTTTTTCTTAATTTATTTCTATTCAATTTAAAATTAAAATAGTAATTTTTCTAATTTTCTATAATTAAAATTTAAAAACCACCCAAACAACTCTCAAAAAACCTCAAGGTTTATGCCCTATAATTTTGCATTTTTTCTCAAATTTTCTAAGAGCGTATAAATTTTTTAAAGTTAATATAAGGAAGCTTAACACCAAACTAAAAAAAGCCTTTTGACATGTTTTTCCCTGGGGAAACCATAAATTCTGAGCCTGAGTTTGGCAGCTAATAAAAGTTTTCTCTTTTTTTAGCTGTTTTTATTTTTTGTAAAAATGTTGAGATTAGATACATTTTTAAATCAATAAAAATTTTTTAAAATAAGACATTTACTGTAATTATAAGAAAATAATTTATCAAGATTTTTAAATTCCTTGAAAATTGAACTACACTCTGTCACAAATGTTTAAGCACCCAAAAATTTTTGTAAAAAATACATAATCCTTAAGCATTATTTGTCTTTTTTTACCGACATTAGCAGCGATATAAGACATCAATAAAAATAAAATTTTCAAAAAATTTTATCGATTTAAACATTTTGAAATTGTATTTTCTCGAAACTTATGTGTCACAAAAGTATAAGCACTCCTGTAAAAATTTACTTCTACTTACTGTAAAATTTTACAAAAATGCATTAAATATGTCTATCGATATTATATAGAATAAAAAAAAGAATTGGGCCCATATCTCATTCCAGTGTCGAGATCTCGATACCCTGAATATCAACGTAAAACAGGGTTTTTCAACTTTAAGAAAATTTTTCGACCCCTTTAGGTTTGTTTTAACTTTTCATTTTGGGCTCATTTGAAAGCCCATTAAATTTGCTACAAGATAGCAATAATCTTATCTTTCAGAAAAATTATTTAATTAAGTTATTAAATTTTAAATTTTTTTCATTAAGTTATTAATTTTAAGAAAGCAAAAAATGCCCCAAAAAAATGCGCCTTAAGGTTTTGTCGTAAGATTATCTGCCTATATCTATTTTTTACAAAAATTTGGGACAGCTTAAACTTTCGTGACAGAGTGTACATATGTAAAAGTGTCTTGCTTATTTATCAAACATATGTAGTTTTACATTCAGTCTTCATCCTCAGGTATCTCGTTCAGATCAAAAGGATAATTTTTCTCATTTATGCTATCATCAAGAATTTTATTTGCCTCCTCTACAACATATTTATTTTGCTCATCCACAGGAGTTTCACCTTTATCTTTATTGGCACATTCTTCCCCACTTTGATTGAAGATATTTTCTTCTTCAAACGGAAAGCTCTCATCGTTAACAATAGGCATTTTACCTTTATTGACAAATTTATCAGTCATTTCATTAACAAAAGAACATCCTTCATTATTTTCTGTCTGAACATTTTTCAATTTCAAGCTTTCATTTTGGAGAATTTCTTTTTCATTTTTCTTTTTTAAATAGTGTTTCCGCCAATATTCTTTCCTTTTTTCCTTATTATTTTGACGGGATTTTTTTTCAATATTTAGAATCTTTTCTTTATTATTTTGACGGTAATTCTTTTTATAATTTTTAACCTTTTCTTTGTTATTTTGGTAGTAAATTTTCGCCGTTTGAAGCTTTTTTTCATTCGACTTTTTATACAAATTTCTTTTGTTTTCTAATAATTTTTCTTTATTCTTTTCATAATATCTTTTATTTCTTTCGGCCTTATATTTTGCTCTACTCAACTTTTTTTCATCTTCATTATTTACTTTTTTGTCTTTTTTTGTAATTTTGGATTTTGGTTTTAACGTTTCTTTATATTTTTGAATTTGAGGATTAACCGAAGATTCAGCTCCATCATTTAATATTTCATTTTGATCACTTGACGTGTAATCATTTTCAACATTTTCAATCAACCCCTTTCCCTCTGTAGGAGTTTTAACAGAAATAATTAAACTCCACAATATCGCATTCAATATTAAAAAGATTAAAAAGCTAAAGAGCTTCATTCTTAAATTATTTCTTTATAAAAATTTATTAAAAGATAATTTAATAAATTTAAAATTGAATTTATATAAGAGAGAACGTCTCGACAAATAATTTCACTATATTTTGTAATAAAATATAAATGTTGAAATATAAATGTGAGAATTGCACTTTTATTTAAAAACAAATTGTGAATCTTTTTTGATAGTCAGGATAAGATATATGTATTGCGAATTATAAAAATTAAATAAAGCTCTGTGAAATAAATTAATAACAGACAAATATGAAATAACAATAATTTCACAACAATTTATTTATTTTTATAGGTCGGGCAATCTATTGAAAGAAAAGTGCATAGCTTTCTGAGATAAAAGTGTATGTATAAGTTGAACTTAATTAGAAACTAATAATAATTAATAATAGGGCTATCTATTATTAATCGAAAAGAAGAACCGTCGATTTTTTGGTTAGCCATAAATCCTCTTCTCTTTAGAAAGTGGAGGATTTCTGGCCTTCTGGCCTTCTGAAAATTCAAAAATTAATGACTGCAGTGTTAAAAATGTAAGTAACTTGAGAATTATCTTCCCAAATTTGTAACATTTTCAAATAATAAAATGGGAAGTTTGATAATCCAAAAGATATTCTGTTCTCTTCGAAGACAACAGAATATCTTATTTCAGCAGTTTTACAAAAAAATAGAAACAATAAATCTTAGATTAATTGGGAGATTTATTATACAAAGAAGGAATACTAAAAAATTTTATTTAAAAAGTTGGAAAAGATATTTTTCATTATTATTTGTTGAATTTATTTCTTAATTCTCGCGACAGGTTGCTTTGATTTTAATAAATAAAATATATTTATATTTTTTTATTTTGAAATAATGCAAATATAAAATCAAATTAATGAATAAAATTAATTCAAAATTTTAATCATATTCTTAATAGAATTTAAAATTTAGTGGAAATAGAGGTGGGCCGGAACATTCAGAGGTGTCGGAAATCGGAAGAGCCGGAAACCGGAATTCCGGCCCACCTCTGTTGGAGACTCCTACCAAATTAAATAAAGAAAATCAGATATTAAATATTATTAAACAAGCAATTAAAAATAGCAAATTCCTAAGCTACAAAAGCAAACCTGGTATTTAAATTAATCCCGAGGCTTATTATGTAGTTATTTATTTTCGTTTTTAATTTTTTTCTTCTCTTTAAGTATTATGTACTTACTTTAAATAATTTATTTATTTACTAAAATTTTTATATATCCTAATTTAACACCTCTAGGGATCATAATTTATATAACCATAGCACATTTTTTATTTATTCCCTCCAAAATCAATTCCCCACTCATCATTTCATGACCATTTTGCTTACAAAAAGCATAAGCCATTAAAATAGCCCAAAGGTCATTTCTTCGTTTCACACTTTCTGGCATTATTTAAAAGCGCTAAAAGGGAGGAAATGGAGAAGTGGATTTGTAGAAAATGTGAAAAAATTGAAAATATTTTTTACCAACTTTAAAAAAATTTTTTTTAGAATTCTTCTTTCGTATAATAAACCTCTCAATAATTTAATAAATTGTTGTATTTTTATTTTATTCTTTTATAAAGCTATTGAGATATCTTTTGTCTATGATTCGAAGAGAATAAAATATCTTTCGAATTATCAAACTTCCTACTTTATAATTTTAAAATGTGAGAAGTTTGGGAAGACAATTCTCATGTCAATTATATTTTTAACATAGCAGTCATTAATTTTTAAATTTTCAGAAGGCAGAGAAGCCAAAATCCTCCACTTTCTAAAGAGGAGGATTTATGGCTAACCGAAAAATCGACGGTTCTTCTGTTCAGTTAATAATAGATAGTCATATTATTAATTATGAGTTTTTTTAATTATATAATAATATACATGCACTTTCTCTCAAAATGCACTTTTAGTTCAATAAATTGTCCGAACCATAAAATTGTATAAATTGTTGTGAAATTATTACTTGAGTTATTAATTTAGTTTACAGAGCTTTATTGAACTTTTATGGCTCGCTATATATCTTATCCTGACTATCAAAAAAAGATTCACAATTTGTTTTTAATTAAAAGTGCAATCTTATATTTTATTTCAACATTTATATTTCATTACAAAATATAGTGAAATAATTTGCCGAGACGTTCTCTCTTATATCAATTAAATTTTAAATTTATTAAATTATTTTTTAATAAATTTTTTAAAGAAATAATTTAAGAATGAAGCTCTTTAGCTTTTTAATCTTTTTAATATTCAATGCGATATTATGGAGTTTAATTATTTCTGTCAAAACTTCTACAAAGGGAAAGGGGTTGATTGGAGATGTTGAAAATGATTGTACAACAAGTGATCAAAATGAGATATTAAATGATGGGGCTGAATCATCGGTCAATCCTCAAATTCAAAAATATAAAGAAACGTTAAAACCAAAATCCAAAATTACAAAAAAGGACAAAAAAGGAAATAATGAAGACGAAAAAAAGTTGCGGAGTGCAAAATGTAAGGCTGAAAGAAATAAGCGATATTATGAAAAGAATAAAGAAAAATTATTAGAATATCGAAGAAATTTGTATGAAAAGTCGAAAGAAAAAATACTTCAAACGGCGAGAAATTACTACCAAAATAACAAAGAAAAGGTTAAAAATTATAGAAAGAATTATCGTCAAAATAATAAAGAAAAGGTTCGAAATTATGAAAAAAAATGCCGTCAAAATAATAAGGAAAAAAGAAAGGAATATCGGCGGAAATACTATTTAAAAAAGAAAAATGAAAAAGAAATTCTCCAAAATGAAAGCTCGGAACTAAAAAATGTTCAGACAGAAAATAATGAAGGATGTTCTTTTGTTGATAAAGTGACTGATAAATTTGTCAATAAAGGTAAAATGCCTATTGTTAACGAAGAGAGCTTTCAGTCTGAAGACGAAAATATCTCCAATCAAGACGTAGAAGAATGCACTGATAAAGATAAAATTGGAACTTCTGTGGATGATACAAATAAAAATGTTGTAGAGGGGACAAATGAAATTCTTGGCAATCAGATAAGTGAGAAAAATTATCGTTTTGATCTGAACGAGGTACCTGAGGATGAAGATGATACTTGAGGATGTTTGATAAATAAGTAAGACACATTGTACATACATATTTATGTCAATTTTTTCAAGGAACAAATTTAAGAATCTTTATAAACTATTTTCTGATAATTAAGTAACAATCTTCATTTATCCTTCTATTCTCTTCTGGGCAAATATGCAATGCCAGAATTTGTTTGGTTTTATTTATTATTAACGATTGCGTGCCCAAAAAACACTTTCATAATAATGAAGATATAAAACAAAGATTAAATTTTCGAAGAATCTAAAAAATTAAATAAAATACATAAACAAAGCTAAGTCGATTATTTGAATATAAAATAAAATTAATCTTTGATTTATTTAAGCAAAAAATAATTAAATATTTTTGTTTTTTGTTTTGTTTCTCCAGAAACGAACAAATAAATTAAATTTATTTTTTTATTCCTTCTTAGTTCCGGAAATTTTTTTTATTTTTAAATTAGCATATTCAAGGTGGCAGGAAATGGCTTATGCTTTTATTTTTCGTTGAAAAATTAGTTATTTCTAAAATTTATTGATATTATAGACCTTTTCTTAAAATAGTTCTCGGTCCCATAATACTTATTTATTTATTTATTCTAAAGAGAATTTTAGAGAAAATACGGTAAGTATTCTGTTATCCATCCTCATAAAATAAATCCCTTCGTTCCTATTTTCGAGACAATGTCTTGTACCTAATTATTGTTTCAATCCTCGCTGGAGGAATCGAGTAATTTGTACGTTAAATAGAATATTGCTTCTAATATACTGAATTTGATCTTTCGATTTGAATTTTACTTTTTATTTGTTTTCGCTTTCACGTGATGCTTTTCTATTAAAATTTTCTATTTTAAATTAAGCTTAATTTTTTTTTAAAATTTGTGACTTACTAAAAGGAAGGAGATTAATATGTAAAAAATTATTTGTATCTGATTATTTAATTAAATATAAATAAGGAAATAAAGAGAATGACTACAAGCATTCAATAAAGCAAAGTAATACCAAATGACTGATTCTCTCCAACAAAACTTTTAAAAAAATATTTTTTTACATCTGTGCTTATATCAATTGGTCAACCTATATTTTTCTTTTTATTTTTACTAACTAGCTAAAAGGGGAAAGAAAAAAGGGGAAAAAGTAGTCCAGACAAACGATCATCACATTTATCTGATATAGCGGTGGCCAATTTCAAACCTTTTTACCAACCAACAAACAAACATATTGCCTTCAATTGCTTCAACAACTTTTTGTTTTTAATGTACTAGCTAGCTAATATATTTTATTAACAAAATATTTTTTTAAATTTAAGTTTAATTTTTTAAAATGTTTTTATGTAAATTAAATAGTCCCAAAGGGTTAGTTGAATTGATAATTTGGACAAAATCAGATAGGAATGATTAATCTGCCAGAATTTAAAATTCTTATTTGGAGTGAGGTTAAAAAGCTATAAGACAACTACATAAAAAAACAAAATTGCTTCTTGGTATATCAGGCTGTAGAAAATCTACAAAAGTATGAGCAATGCTTATGCTAACTAATTTTTTTAACATCCCAAGTTCTCTAAATTAATATCGTTTTTTTGATTAAGATATTAATTCATGAAAAGGATAAAAAAAATTCAACTGATTTATTATTGGCTATTTTAGTTTTTAAAATAATTTACTGTTAATAATTTGTTCAAAACGTTTACCTATTTTATTTATTCAAAATCTTTATTTTTAATAAAAAAAATACAAAAAAAAATTTCATATTTTATATTCCCCAATTTTTGTTTAACCTAATACAAAACCCATCAATCAACCAAACATAAACATCGGCACTTTAAGTTATTCCAATTTTTTATTTTCCTTATTTGAATTTTTAACGATTTCTTTTTATTTAAATTTGAACATCTAATTAGTACTCTGTAAAATGTTTTTTCATTTAAATTATTTTAAAAATTATTTGATAATAATAATATTTTTATTATATTGCTTTATTTGTCTCAACTATTGACCAACAATTTTTATTTTTATTTTCAGGTCTTCAAAAAGCCATATGCTCTTTGCTTTTCCCTCATTTCCTTCCGCCTTTCCCTCATTTGCGGCTATTTTTCTTTTCTATATTTAATCGCCTCACCTATATTTTTCTCAGTTTAAGGGATCGCCTTGTGGCCGTTCCCAATTTTTTATATACATATCCTTTTACTTTAGGTGAATTATTTGATTGAATATTTTTCGATTATTTTTGTTTCTAATAATTTTTACCATCTTGTAACATTAATTCTCAAAAAATTGTTAAATTAACCCTAAAATATCAAAAAAGGGTAAGGCAAGGATTACATGTTGGATTTAATTTCAGAAGCAAAAAAGATAAATATTTAAATAGTGTAAATTTTTAATGATTTTTGAAAATTTTTTAAACTTAACTTTAAAAATATTTCGAGATTATCTAATTATAAGCTTATCAGATCGAGGTTGATATCATTATTATTCTTAAATCTCTATTCCGATTTCTCCATCTTGATCATGAATTGGGATTAATATTGCTAAATCTTGGTGCTGATTATTGGTTTTTTTATTTATCCACTTGTTAATGATGTTTCCAACATTATTTTAGTCAATTAAATTCAGGCTAGGTCAAAATTATATCTAAATTCTAATAAATCCGAAGTCCATTGAAATTCAAATTTTTGATGTTTTTTAATAATCTATACCTACATTCTGAAAACACAAATAATAAAACAGTTTTATCTCTTTTATTTAATAAACTCATATTTTCCTTTCAAAATCCCTTACAATTAATTCTTAAAATTATTTTTTTATTTATCCACTTTGCACCACCAAAAACTCAATATAAAAAAATATTTTTTTATATATCGCTAATGTCCATCTCTTCTTACTAAACCAATTCTTTCCCTCAACTTGCTCATTCTCGCGCCTGTACAAATAAACATTCCCAAACAAAAAACTATGAATGTGAAGGCACTTTTGAGGGGAGGAGGGAGGGGGGAGGGAGGTAAAAATATTTGAAAAGAATAAGGCCCTTTCATTTTTTATTCTTAAAATATAAGGGTTATATTCTTGACTTTTATTATTTCCTTTCCCCCTCTTTAGTGTCAATGGCCACACGTGCAAACAAAACCTATTAAAAGAACGTCTAAAGTCGATTATATATAAATAATTGCTAAAAGGCTTTATCTTTATTTGATCGAGACTTTCTTTTATTTGTATTCTTTTAGTCAAATAAATGGTTAATTGTTTGGAAATTACGAGAGATTTTTTGAGATTTATTGGGTATTCGATTAGAAATATGTTTGTATGTTCGGAACTAAGCTGTACATAACCTTGGATTTTTCGGTCCTCTCTAGCGTTTAGTTCCGAATATCCGAGAAATTTCTAAGAACGACAATACTAATCAGGATATTATTAGAAAATATTTACAGATTTCAAGTTTTTAGTATCTAATTTTTTATCCTTATTAGCCGATCATTGTTAGAAAACGAGGATAAAATTAGATTAATTAATGGGTATTTAACACTTTGTTAATTAAAGGGTATTTAACACTTTGTCAGTATTCACGTTATAAACGAGACAAGCTTGGAAAGAAAAGAGTATTTAGAGAATTTTCTACTCTTTCTTTTAAGTTCTATAAATCAGCTTTAAGTGAAAAATCAACAAATCCTCATTCTCAATGTCAACTTTTTAGGCTTTATCCCACTGTTTTGCGCATCTCCATTTAATTAAATAGGATTATTTGTTTGTTTTGTATTTTTAATATTTTTTTATTGTCTCATACTATCCTTTCCCTTTTCCAAACATTTAAAAACATATTATTTTTCCTCGCACCTCCACAATAAAAGAATTGGCCATTTTTAGGGTCCCTTTCTTTCCCTATATTTTTTCCTCATTTTCCCCTTTTCTTCCTTCCATTAGCGGCATCCCTCCAACTGAGTAGACAAACATTTAGGGGAAAAACAAAACAGAAAATCCTTTCGGGAGGACGGAAACGTTGTTAAGGGAGGGAGGGGGGGGGGTAAGCAACAACAAAATACCCCCCTTCCCTCCTTCTCTTATTTTTTTGCTTTTCTTTGTTGCTTAACAAGTGTCAATTTCCATTTTTTCTAACAAAGTACAACGGTCATTGTTTGGTTATTTTTAAAAATATTTATCTACTTAAATGCTTTTGCTACAAAGTTTTAAATTTTTTAAATAAAAATGTTTTTAAAAAATCTTTTTTTTTAATTGAGTGTAAATTTTTTATCAGAAAAATGTCTCAAAATTTTTTATACATAACCTTGGTTTGATTTTAGATTTTGTTTATCAATTTTTGAATTTCAATGATTAAAAATAGTTTCATTAATTAACGCTTAATTCTCTCTTACCCAAAAATTCCCCTTTTTACCCTTTTATACATAAATTCATTTACCTTCTCTAGAAAATTATCTTTGATTTAATTATCTGTTTTTAAATACTTAAATGTGATTAGAATTTGTCTTTTCCTTTACTTTGAATTATCTTAGTTTCATTTAAAAATTATAAATTTCTCGTTGAAAATTCAAGTTAACTTCTAAACATTATTTTCCCAAAAGATTTCCATTTTAATTTTTTATTAAATTTTTCTTCAAAAATTTTCCAACTTAGAACCCAATATAATCTTCCAAATAATTTATTTTAATATATTTATTTATTTTTAACAAAAAATTAGAAAAATAAAATAATTAAAATTGATGAACTTAAATATATAATTGTTGACAGTTTTGCTAAAAATAAATTCTCATTTAATACTCAAATAATTATTTAATAATATTTTTAACTTTAATAATTTATAAAGCCAATTTTATTTTCCTCTTTTCCCTTTAAAAATAAAATTCAATTAGAGCGTTCTATCCGCTTTTCAATTTTTTTCTTTCTAAATTTTGCAAATTGCGCACTATTTTGAGGGCATCTTATGAGAGAGGAGGAGGAAGGGTGAGGAATGACTGACCAATTTTATTTTAGAAAAGGGAAAAAATTTTTGATTTTACTTTCTTTCTCTTTTAATTTTACTTGAAATATCTGGAATTTATTTTTAATAAATTCCACTTGACACCAAAATTATAGTAAAGAAAATTTTTCTTCATCAAACGAGTAATTTAATAAAATTTTTGTTTCAAAAAATCAAAAATTCTCATAAAATAAAAAAAGGATAGGATACAGAAATTGAATCAGATATTTGGAGTTTATTTCGAGCCACCCTCCTTTTCTCTTTATTAAATAAAACTCCAATTGTTTACATTATTTAGTAATCCAATTTGCTTAATTGCGTGAGTCACTAAGAGGGTTCTGCTAAATTAAAAATAGTAAAATCTACTTTAAGTCATAATCTGATGTCAATGACTTCAAAACCGAAACGAAATAGGCTCATCAACAAAATCATTAACTGAAATTTTTTGTTTATTTTTGGTCTGATGGCATTTTTTTCTCATTATCCAGACGTCTTGAATAAAATTATTTGCATATTTTTTAAATTTTAGATTTATTATGTTTTGTTTTCAAAATTTAATGTCTCGATTTAATATGTACTTTTCCCCCTTGCTACTCATTACACTTCTTTACTTTCTAAAATTTTCTATTTATTTCAACAATCAAGTATTAATTCTTCCCCTTCTCTATTAATTCATTTTTGTACAGTCATATGTTTCCTTTCTAGATTTTAATCATTTCTAAGCGCTAAACTTTTTATTTTTTAACAAAACTTTCCACGGCAATGTCACAGCTGTTGGAGAAAAGGACGAACACAGTTTGGCGGCAAAAAGCGGCAAAAGAATGGAAAAATTAGCAAAAAGGCGGGGTAAATAAAAAGTTTATTTTTTAGGAAAAGAAGGAATTAAATAAATAATAAATAAAAAAATCAAACAGCAAACAGCACATAATTTCTTTATTTAAATTGATCATTGAGTTTATTTTTTGTATAATATTTGGATTAATAATAGTTAAAGTTATTTATCAGATTTTTGCAATATTCCAACCCTTTTTTTAAGACCCCTCTCCTCCCCTCCCTCCCACCCTACCTTCCTCCCTCCATCGTATAAAATGAAAAACCTCATTCATTCCGAATTTTCATAAAAAAATCTAAATAACCAAAAATTAGTACAATTTATGGATATCTTCTATTTTACTTAGATCTTTAAATAAATCAAGAGTCTTGTTTCCAAAACCAAATATGAGTACAATTTATCGGTATCTTCTCTTCCATTTTATCCAAATTTTTAAATAAATCAAGAGTCTGGGTTATGATTCTGATTAACACCTCAAATTTTTTTATTATTCCCTGATCAACGGCCAAAGTTTAAAAATATTTCTCTATTCTTATTTACTTTTAGATATCAATTACCTACATAGTTATCAATTACCTATATATTTCCACATAATTTTATTCACCCTTCCTATCCAAGCACATTTTTGTTTTTTTTATAAATTTTCTAAAAATAAATTTTTTCAGATTTTTAAAATTCCAACAATGATCTACAATAATTATTTAAAAAATATTCCTAAATACTTTTCATCAATTTTTCGATTTTATTTAATTATTTATTTTGTCCTACATTCTGTTAAAGCCGAACAGAGGATTGTTGAAGAGCCTGAGGATACTGTAGCCAGAATCGGAGAGACTGTTTTACTTAAATGTAGAGTTCAAAATCAGGTTAGAAATATTTTAAATTTCTCATAATTAATCGCGGATTTGTTTTTAAAAAATACATATTCCTTCTCGCCCCAATTCCCCGACGCTAATAATTTTACATTAGAAAGTTTGATTGTGTAAAAAAATTCTTAAATCTTTATTTAAATATTTCTAAGAGCCCTAATTCTTTATTCAGAAATTTTGTTCTTAATGTACCTTAAACTCTGAAAATGTAAGTGATAGAATGATTTAAAAAAAAGTTCATTCATTTAAAAATTTCTGTCAACGGCATTTTTAGAAAAAATTTAAAAATTGAATAAGAAACGTTTAAATTGAAAAAACGTTTAAACAGATTTTGAGTTACTCTAAATTTTTGTAGATTTTTGCAATTTTTCTTCACTTTTAATTTTCTCATAAAAAGTTAGTTAGTTATACTTTTATTTTTTTTCGGCGCATTAAAGTCAAAATTTTTTTTTTTGATTAATTAGTTTTTTCTTTTATTTTTTGTTTTTCAAAAGCATTTATTTTTATTGAAAGGCATATAAATCATCTAAATATAATCTCTATAAATTTGTGAATGCCTTTTCTGTCAACGGCATTTTTTAGACAAAAATAAAAAAACATTACATAATTACCGCAAAAATGTGCAAATTTTTTAATTCATCAAAATCAATCAAATAATATTTTGAACGGTTCTCTCCCTCATATGTCAAAATATATTAAAGAGAGAGATTGAATATTTGATTAGTAGTTTTGTTTGGGTATCTGGCATATACAGTATTTTATAAAAATTAATTACTATAAAAATTCTGAATTAGAACCGAGCAGAAATGTTACGAGTTACCTGAAACACGGAATTTTTTTGACACTGAACCTCCGATCAAAGGAAATTTTTAAGAAACTGACCCGAAACTCTACCCGACTTTTTCCTAAACAATGACATTTCTGGTATCGAGATGGGAAAATCTTGAGGGAAACAATCCTTTTTATTGGATGTCTGATCCTATATTCCCCCTCTCGATGAACTTGAATATAAAACTAAAAGTTATTTTAATTTAAATTTTAGAAAGGACATGTTTACTGGATGAAAGGAGAAGTAGGTCTAGGCCATAAACGGGATATGCCTTTTTTCGGTAATTTTTTAAAAATCTTATTTTAAAAAATAAAAATTAATAGAGCGTATGTCAATGATTGGAAATGTTGACGATGGAGAATATCACCTTCAGATAAAGAATGTGTCTCTTGCAGATGATGACAATTATAGAGTAAATTTTGAAATTTTATATATAATTTCTAATAAACTGACAAATGAGAAAATTTTATTACGAAAAAGATTTTTGATACGAGAATTTAGAGATTAATTTTGAGTGTTCAAAGAAATTATTTTACCTCGCATAGCTATCGAAAATCGTTGAAGAATCCCCATACTGAACCTTCCTAATCCCTTCTTAAAACTTGAAATTTTTAAGGAAAACTGTTCTGAAGTTTATTATAATTTATCAAATTATTATTGGTTGAAAACTTGAAAAAAATTTTTTTAAACATTTCCAGTGTCAACTTACTCCAACAGATGATGAACCAACTCCTAAACTTTCTAAAAGAGTTAAATTAACAATTATTGGTAATTATTAGCTTTTAAAATAAAAAATAAAAATAATTTCCTCCCTCAGTCCAACCCAAAGACCCTATACTCGTTGGAGAATCCATTGAAGGTGGACTGACTTCATCAAGTAAAAATCAACAATTAATTGGGCAATTTAATCAAATAGCTGCCACAGAAGGGCATTCACTCCAAGTTAGTTGTCAAAGTAGGGCTGGAAGGCCAGCAGCACAAATTAGTTGGGTTTTGGCTGAAGATTGGTTAGGAAAAAGAATTATTGCGCATATTATACCATCAAATAACGAAACAGAAACAACAACAGTTTTTAGATATCAAACAAATAGAGGTGAGAAAAGATTTTTTTGGGAATTTTTGAATGTTTTAGGAATTTATTTCAATAAATTCGTCCAAATATTTCATCAAAACTTCTCGTCTTTTCCTTAAACTCTTATGCCTTTTCAAAATTTTAATGTAATATTGGAACAGAGCTTGGTAGAGTAGTTGCTCCAGGAGCTAGCTTCGGCCAGGATCGAGGCTATGATTTAAAGTGGTCGAAGCCTGAACCATAAAACTCCCAATACCCACCTTCCAATATACTAGCATGGGTTAGTTTCATTGTTTGCAGTTTTTGCTTGACCAAAAAATTCAAAACTAAAGTAAAAATGACCCTGATATTTACCAACATTTTGCAGAGAAGCTTTACCTTTTACTGATCCCTTAATTTAAAAAATTAAAAAAATTTTTAAAATAATTTTCAGTGCCTTTCCCCTCTGCTGGACATCCTTTACGCCACTCCCGTGGAAGACGTCTACTTGCTAACATTACAGAATTTCGAGACTTAGATGGAGACAGTCAACTTTACAGTGTTATAAGCAATTTAAAGTATTTTTAAATTAAATATTTAAAATTAATTGAAAAATATTTTTAAAGTTATTCGCCTTCTCGGGATGATAATGGACATTTTTTGGTTTGTATGGCAACACACGAAGCTTATGGAAAGGAGGCAAAAACAGCCAGTATTTCTTTGGATGTATTCTATCCCCCCAAAGTAATTATTGAAGTTGAGCCGGAAGATAATGGAAAGGTAAAATCGGCAGTATTTAATTTTCTTTTAATTCCGGAGCTGGCAAAATTTTTGTTTCTAAAGAGATTTTTGTTTCACATGGGGCATTTATGTTCCTTGGATAATTAAAAATATTTTTCAAGTTTTTTGGCAATTCAAAACCTATTAAATACAACTTTTAGTAAAACCTAAAATTAACGTATTTCCTATAATAGTACTCACGGGAGTACTATTTTTCAACCTTCCTCCAAAGGGGAGTATTATTTGAGGAGGGAGTACTAATTCAGGTGGAGCAATATTTCATGAAATACGGTATTTTGAATAATTTCTTTTTTTAGATCAGAGAGTCTGGCTCAATTCGTTTACTTTGCAGAAGCGATTCGAGGCCAAATGAAGATTTAAAGTATTCTTGGAATTGGGATGGAGAACCTAAAAGATTGGAAATATTATCAAATCATGTCTGTTAAAAAAGATAAAAGAAAATTAAATTAAAAAATATTTTTAGCGTATCTCAATTTCCTCTCTTCGATTTAATGATAATCTTAAAAAAGTTAATTGTACAGTAGAAAATTCTGTTGGATTTGGAAGTTCTGCTTTTGAATTGAATGTTCCTTGTATGTTTATTTTTTTGATTCTTAAGAATTTTTAAATTTAAAGTTGGACCTCGTTTTATGTCTACAAATCAAACTAAAATAATTGATAGAGGTTCTGAAACAACTTTTCAATGCGAGGTAATTAATATACATATAGAGTCGAAACTTTTTTTGATTTATTATCCTTTATATGTCACCTTTCCCGGGATTGTATATTGGAGTGATTCACTTGAAGATATTTTTAAAACCTGTAGATATAAGTTTAAGATAGTTTTTTAGTACCGTAAAACTTATTAACTACCCCGGGTAATTATTTTTTCGACCTTTCGCTGGGGAGTAATTAATCGTGAGAGGGGGGTAATTATTACACTAGGTTTGAAGTTTGAACGTGTTTTAGTGCATTTGATGGGGCGGAGTAATTATTTCAATCCGTCACTGGATGGGGTAATTAATGGAAGTTGGGCAATTATTTGTGGGCGAACAATTAATACAGGTTATACGGTATATGTTTTTCTAGGTTCTCGGCAATCCAACGCCTATTATTCGTTGGTATCATGGAAGGGAAAAAGAGACACCAATTCACGAAGGAGCAAAGTTTGTAAAATTAAAGCAATTTAATAATTAAAATTTTTAGTTTAACAATCAAAAATGCGCAGGATTGGGAGGAAGGAGAATATAGGGTAGCTTTTTGGAGTATAATGCAAATAAAATATTTTTAATTTTAAGTGTATTGCCGAGGTGGAAGGCTTTCCTTCAAAAACATTGTATCATCAATTATACTTAAAAGGACCTCCAAAAGTCAGATTTATAGAGTATATACTATCTGAAAATGAAAAGGATATTACTTTAATTTGTGAGGTAAAACATTTGATTTTTCTTAAAAAAGTTAACATGTTGGATTTGGATAATTGGGTAATTTAACATATTTCTTTTATGTTTTTATGGAAAATATATGATGAAAATATTTTTTGAGAATTCCCTCCTCATAGGAGAGGGGGGGGGGTGGCATAGAAGCCCCCGTCTTCCTAGTTAGACTTGATTTTAAATTCATTCAAAGAATCATTTGGTTTCTCAATTCTTTAAAGGAAATAAAATATCGAGAAATCCTTCTAGTTTCGTATTTTTATGCAACACGGAAATCTTAGAGTACCCTGTCTTTTCTGCAGATTATTCTTTTATTTATCTCCTAAATTCTCAAAATATACCAAGTAATAAAAATGACAAATAAATCCTTATCCAGGTACAATCAAGAGTATTGCCAGTTAATATCCAATGGTTCCATAATGGTCGTAGAATGGATGTTGCAGAACGTATTAGAACGGGTGAAGGAGATGGAAATAACAACAAAAACAAAAATCGTTTCCAAGTTAACGATGATAAATTGGGCAAACATTTAATGCTATCGAAAATGACAATTTTTGATTTTGTTGAACAAGATTTGGGGTTGTGGAATTGTTCAGCACGTAATGATTATGGGGTTATTTGGGAACAAAAAGATGTTAGATTACTTGGAATTTTAGACAAAATTGGTAGGTTTTGAAAATAAATTTTATGATGTCGCATAGAAAAACGATTTTGGCAAAACTACGGGGGTTTATATTTAAAAACACGATATTATTCTCATAACTTTTTTTTGTTACTTTGGTGTTTTATACAAAAAAATAATTTTTATTTTTAAACCAAAAGAAATTGGAAACGGGGAATCCCTGTTTTCTTTTTGTTGATAATTAGGGTTGGGGTTTCCGAGTGGGACCGACGTTCGAGTCTTTTTCGGGCTTCATTTTTTCGGGCCGATCGACCGGGTCTTTTTCAGGTCAAAATTTGATGCCCAACTCGAACTTTTCGGACGGACAGGCCTCCAACCCTATTAGTAATATACCTAAATTAGTACTATAAATTCATACTACAGATTTCTTCTTACTTCCGTTTTTTCTGTCGTGCTTTTTAAAATTCGTCTTTCAAATTAATGCTAAATATCTCACATATTTATTAAAATCTCAGCTTAATTTTTTTAATTTAAAGAAATTCAATGGAGGGAAATGCCTTTTCAACTGCGCATAGTTTTCGGATCTGTAATTTTCTGTATTTTTGCCGTTTTATTTCTTCTTTTACTTGTTTGGCTTATTTGGAGAGGTTGTTGTTGTTGTGATAGACGAATTGGGCATTCAAAAATGTCAAATAATAGTAGCTATCCGAATGGAGGTTCTATTTCTGGTACGAGTTTGGAAAAATTTTTAAAGTTTGGCAAAAATCTTTTCAGTAAAATGCGAGCCTGTTGATGGCATGACAGCAAGTGAGAGTTGCGGAACCCCTCCCTATCCCCTTCCTCAACAATATTTTTACAATAACGAAGCTGGTGGATTAACAGCAGAACAGTATCCCCCTCCAAACGGAAATATTCATTTTCCCCCAGAAATGTTAGACCAACAGCAAATGTTATTTGAATATGAACAACAACAACAGATTTATGGAAATGGGAATAATGGATATCTTTGTGAAGATAATAATTCTACAATATTTGATCAACAACAAATAAATAATAATGGTAGAAGAAGTAGTGCTTCTACATTTAATAATAACAATCTTGTTGGTGGTGGTAGTGGTGTTTATTGCCCTTCTATGCAATGTTAGGGGAAATTTTTAATTTTTAAAAATCCACAATGCCTTGTCTTGAACCCGAAAGTTGCCCCTTCCTCCATGGTTAGAATTCACCACAATTAACAAATCTAATAAAGCCTTATTTTTAATTTTATATTTAATTATTTAGAGTAGGGTAGCTCCCCGTACTCGACGATTTTTTTGGCAAAAGCCCCGACCCGGACCCCGAAGGCTGTACCTCGGCAACCCCCGATCCCCGACGATCCAGACCTCGAAGGCTCGGGGAGTTGCCCTAATTTAGAGAATTATTCGGTTTCTCAGTTTATATATTTCTCAGTTTCCCAGCGAGGAATTCTTCCATTTCTGACATTTTTAAAAAAATATCATTTTAGTAAGCTCTTTTGATTATCAACAACCTAATGGATTAATTCAAAATGGAGGTAATAATGGATATATTATTAATGGAAGTGGTCTACCACGAATACAATTAAAATCTCCCCCTTCACAACAACAGCAACATTATTCTTATTTTTCTTCTCCTTTAGAAACACTCAGAGAAGTTGGAAGTCCTCCAAAACACGAAGATGCTCCTCTAATTATTGGAATTGATTCTAATCAAAATTGTTTAGAGAGGTCTTTGTCTAGAAATTCCACTCATGTCTAGATTAATGACCTAATAAATGAAAAACTTTAAAATGCCCAAGTTTATCAGTATTGTTGAACTTCGATATAAGCGACAATTCCTAAAGAGTTCTCAGAATTTTTAATTTTTACCTTCTCTTTTGGGCACTAATCTAGACTTTAAAAATCACCAATATTTATTTAATCTATATACTATTCCCTCAATATATCCTCTCATTTGCGGGTTTCCAACCACTTCTCTATGGCTTTTTATTAAATACAAATTATTTGATTCGTTTATTCATAATTTTTAATCAAATTATAAGATTATTCCTCTTTAATAGATCCGAGATGAAATCAATTTATAAAGACCGAAAGGATTCTGGTACTGGTTCTCATTGTTTTGTATTTCTTGGGGTAGTCCAGCTTCTTAAAAAATATTCTTCAAAATTTCAATTACAGTCGGACCCAGTGCTGGGTATTTGCCATTTGTTGGCTCCGGCTCCGGGCTCCGGGGTTTCAAAATCTTGGCTCCGGCTCCGGGCTCCGGCCTTTTAAAATCTTGGCTCCGGCTCCAGCTCCGGCTCCGGAGCCGGCGATTTTCGGAGCCGCTCCATGTTGGCTCCGGGCTCCGGGTGGAAAATCAATGAATTATTTTTCATTGGGGATTTGGGTAGATAAAGGGGGATATCGAGTGATATAAGAGGATTAATAGGGTTATCAATGGATTAAGCGGGATTTGTGTGGATTATCTTGTGATTTAGGTAGATTAAGGGCGATATCGGGGGGATTAAGGGGATCTGGATCTAAAAATCTTCTTTTTTTGCGCCGCAGGCGAAAATTTTGATAATTTTGGAAGATCCTTAAGCCAAAAATCATCCTTTTATTGCGCCGCAGGCGAAAATTTTGATAATTTTGGAAGATCCTTAAGCCAAAAATCATCCTTTTATTGCGCCGCAGGCGAAAATTTTGATAATTTTGGAAGATCCTTAAGCCAAAAATCATACTTTTTCAGCGCCGCAGGCGAAAATTTTAAAAATTTTGACACCCTAAGGACTAAAATTAATCAATTCGAAAAATTTATCAAGCTTCATTTAATAAAAAAATGATTATAATAATTTATTGTTGAAAAAAAAAACAAATCCTAAGTCTTTCATTACGTTCGGGTTCGAACCTAATACCTAGATAAGTCCTCTAAAATATGAACCCAACACACTATCCAGTCAACCACGCATCTTTCTTGAAGGAAATGAAAGAAAATCTTTTTTACCCGTCTCAATTTTCTCTTCCTTTTCTTTACACGCCTACCATCTTTGCTTACTTCTTTTTCTCTAACCCATCTTTAGGGGTGTATAGCCGGAGCCGTGGGGAATTGGAAAACCTTGGCTCCGGCTCCGGCTCCGGGCTCCGGGGTTTGAAATTCTTGGCTCCGGCTCCAGCTCCGGCTCCGGGGTTTTCAAAATCTTAGCTCCGGCTCCGGCTCCGGCTCCGCCGGAGCCGGCTCCGGAGCCGGGCTCCGGAGCTAGCTCCCGGAGCCATACCCAGCACTGGTCGGACCTCGCTTGTTTTTAACCTCAATTTAGTTTTTCTTTGGCCACGAGTGTAATTTCACGTTTGCACTAAAAATTTAGGATTTTTCACATTCCTAAAGCACAACTACTTCCATTAAAATAAAAATCAGCCGAAAATGACGCTAAAACGATTCTTACCGTTTTACGATACTAATAAGATTTTTATCCCATAAGGGCGTTAATGAGTACCGTCTGTAAAAATATCAATTTTTATTTAGAAAAATGTACTAAATTGAACTTTTTTTAAATATATTTTTTATTTTTATAATTAATTTACTCCAAATTTATTAGAGTTTATATTTATAAATTTTTCATTCATTTCCTTTAATTAATTTTTAATTAATAATTTTTTAATATTTTTTGTTTATATTATTTTCTTATTTTTTGTATTTTTTTAAAATTTTGTTAAATTATACATATAATAAATTTTTATGTAATTATTTAAGACGGATTTGTGTAAGTGTGTTTCCTAATTAAAAATCTTAATTTATCCAAACAAATTAAAATAGGTAGTGTGTTTTAATATATTTATGTATACGGTAGGGCGCGCCAACATCGACCAAATACATGTTTGGTTGATGTTGGTTGATTGTTTCATATTTGGTTGATTGTTTTAATATATGTATTTGGTTGGTGCGCCAACATTTGCACCGAAATTTTTTTAAAAATTCTGTTGAAAATACTAAGAAAAGTTTATCTTTACGTTTAAATAATGCTACAATTTTTTCGTTGAATGGGGACACTTTATACGTGGGTGCCGAGTTTAATATACAAATGTTATACCATTTGAAAGAGCTATTCGATCAGAGTCAAATGACACCAAAATCAGCTTGATTGAAGACACGATGGCCGTGCTTCGCTAAAAACAAACGGTCATAACTTTGTCAAATCAAGTCAGATTTCATTTATTTAGCGTCATTCGACCCATGTCAGTTCGTCGAGCTCTTTCGAATTAGATATCATTTGTATAATCGAATTTTTTACCCCAAGATTGAGCTTACTCCCTCCTATGGTTTTTCGATTTTTAAAAATCTGTAACTTGCTTCAAAATTTTTCCTCTGGCTAATTTTGGTGGCATTCAACTCAGCTCGACTAGCTCTTTCAAATGGTATAACATTTGTATATTAAACTCGGCACCCATGTACTAAAGTACAGCCCGTTGAATAAATGGATTCGGTACTTATGTACAATGAATTTGGTACTTAGTATGTAGTACATATCTCCCCCGCATGTCCGCAAATGTTTGTCCGCTACTTTTTTCTTTTTCTTCTTCTACATTCTCTCAGAGATTAAAAAGGGTCAAAGGATTAATAATTGTCAATAAATAATTTGATTTTTATAGGGAAGGCAAATAAGGAAAGCATCATTTTCGAATTAAATTTGTTTGTAGATCAATGAATATTTTTAATCTTCCAAAAACCGGAGAAGGGCCATCAATTTTTTACAAAGAATATTCTACCAACAAAAATGGGTTATTTGGTACGAAACCGACCTTTCTAGGTTTACTTATATGTCATGACCCTGTCAAAACATATCCAAACACGTTGATCTGTTTAATGATTCCTTCTCCGGAAACAAAATTTAAAAAATTATTAAGGCTTTGACCGTTTTTAATCACTGTGAGAGAAGGTAGGAGAAGGGAAAAGAAAAAAAGTTGCAGACAAACATTTGCGGACATGCAGGAAGATACTACATAATTACCATGGATTTGATCAATCACTTATATATACATGTTTTCTTTTCAATTTCCTCTTTTTCCAATCTTCACATAATCAATCATCGCAACCACTACAACCACCTTCAAGTAAAGCTTCGAATACACAACAACAACACAAATAATATAATCCATTTCCAACATTACTACACATATCGCTAATAATTTTGCCGCAGTCGATGTTGTCACAGCTCCCAATACATGAAGAGCAATCACCACATTTACATTCTTCATTTTGAGCCATAGATTTATTGCTATCATTACCACAACAGCCAAAACATGAAGAACCTTCACAACATTTAGAATTTACTTCTTGAGCCAATTTAGGAGAGTTGCTTCCATTGCCCCCAAAACATCCTGTACAATCCATTTGTTGAATAGATGGGGCTATTTCGAAAGCGGTGGATTGTTCAATACTGGCATGAAAAGCAGAAAATAGTTGTTGTAAGTCAGAAGACAAAGATGTAGCTGAAGAAGAAGCCTCGTTAAAAATTGAAGGAATAAAATCTTCATTATCAGATTCTCCTTCATAATTTGAGTTGTGATAAGATTCTCCCTCATAATATCCTCCATGAGACGGTTCTCCTTTATAAGAAGATTCCCCTTTATCACTTTCATCATCACTAGTTTCATGACCAGTATCAACATAAAAATAATAATCGTCATCATTTTTCTTCTCTTTCTTCCTATCATTTTTACTCCATTTTAATTCATTTTTCTTGTTCTTTTTAAATTTTGCTTTTACTGCCGATTTAATTTTAATTTTAAAATCTTTCAAAATTTTGTTAGCATTTTTCATTACATTATCCTTGCAAAATTCTATATACTTCTTTCTTGCAGTCTCATTATTTTTATAAACATGATTAATTGTAGCGCAAAATTGTAGTAATTGTAAAAATTCTGCAACTTCTTTTAATCCTTCATGTTTTTTCTTAAAAATTTGTTTATGAAAAAATTTAGAAAAAAATTTTTATATATCAATTTGTAGATTTATTTCTTCTAATTTTTAGAAATAATTCTTAGAAAATAAATGCCAAATAAATTTTAAAAACTTGAAACGACGATTACATTCATCCTATAGATTTGGATGTCTCTAATTTGCATTTGACTAACAATTTAGGTCCATAACAAAAATTAAATTTTGGAACTTTTCTGGTTAAGTTCCATCAAATTATTAATATATATGTTTTTAGCATATTAATAATGTTTAACAGATTTCATTTACTCAAAACATTTAAAAACCTTATGAGTAGAGCTGTCCGAGACTCTTGGTCTTGGAAGCAAGACTTTTCTTGGTTTTTTTTTTCGGTCTTGGTCTTGGGGTGTTTGTCTTGGTCTTGTCTTGGTTTTATTTTTTGGTCTTGGTTTTTTGGCCTTTTTGGACAAAAATTTCTAATTGACGAAATGTCTCTCACGAAAACTTTGGACCTTTCGTCCAATGGGCCATTTATAATGGAATGGAAGAAATCTGGCCTATTGCCCTTCCAAAATTCTCAAAATTTTCGCCTGCGGCGCAGAAAAAAGAAGATTTTTGGCTTCTTGGCCTTTATAATTCTCAAAATTTTCGCCTGCGGCGCTGGAAAAGGAAGAAAATAGAGGATGGATATCAGCAGCAACAATCTCAATCACCCAGGTCCCCCAACTTCATAATATTCCTTTAGATCCCAATTAATCCACTTAAATTCCCCTTTAACTCAATATCCTCCTTAATCCAAGGGCGTAGCCAGGGGGTCGATTTTGGAGAGGGCTCTACCCTTTGATATCACTAATATCCCTTTAATCCACCCAAATCCTCTGAAATAATATATCTCATTGATTTTCCACCTGGATAAATTCTCCAAAATTCTTTGAATTTCGCGTAGATTTTAGAAATTATAGGAGATTGTGCTGAAGTTGACTGTGACCGTGTCAAAATAACAAAAAATAAACCAAAAATTTGACCTATGGGACCTAAAAATTGTCTCGAGTTTTGTATTATTTTTGGTCTTGAGTCTTGGAGTTTTG